AAAATAGGCATCTCATTGAGACTGCACGGACCCTTCTTATTTACATGCATGTTTCTCTTCACTTCTGGGCCGATGCAGTCCTTGCTTCTTGTTTTCTCATCAACTGTATGCCTTCATCTGTGCATAATAATGACATTCCTTAGAACTTGTTGCTTCCAGATATTCCTCTCTATCCTCTATCCCCACATGTCTTTGGTTGTATCTGTTTTGTTCATGATCTCACTCCTGGTAAGGACAAGTTAACATCCAAAGCCTTTAAGTGTATTTTTCTTGGTTATTCTCGTCTTCAAAAGGGTTATCGTTGTTATTCTCCTGATCTTAAGCGTTACTTTGTTTCCGCTGATGTCACTTTTCTTGATCAACAACCCTTTAATTTTATCCCATCTCAATTGTCATAGGTTGATCATGTTCTTCCTGTTCCTTTTCTTGACTTGTTTTTGCCAGCTGCAAATACTTCTATTCCAGATAAGCAACCTATTGCTTCCATACCTTAGGACCGTCCATTTCTTACCTATCAGCGTCGTAAAACTGTGCCTCCTGTTGACTCGACTCTTGCTGACTCATCGCCCCTTGCGGTTGATTCTTCCCCTCCAGCTCCTTCACCAGAGGCTCTTCCCATTGCTCAAAGAAAAGGTACACTTACTACTCGTAACCCTTATCTTCTTTATATCTTTTTGAGCTATGACAGTCTTTCTCCAGCTCATTTCACCTTTGTTTCTAGTCTTTCTTCTGTTTCTATTCCTAAACCCACAGGTAAAGCACTTTCCCATCCACGGTGGCGCCAAGCGATGCTTGATGAGATGACTGCACTTCATTCCAATATCACTTGGGACCTTGTTTCTGCTCCTCCAGAGAAGTCTATAGTTGGTTGTTGCTGGGTTTTTACTGTGAAAGTTGGACCTGATGGCAATGTTGATCATCTCAAGGCACGCTTAGTTGCAAAATGTTTTACTCAAATCTTTGGCCTTGATTATAGTGACACATTCTCTTCAGTCGCTAAGATGGCGTCAGTTCGCCTGTTTCTTGCTCTTTCTGCTGTTAGTCACTGGCCACTCTTTCAACTTGACATCAAAAACGCTTTTCTTCATGGTGATTTACAAGAAGTTTACATGGAGCAACCACCTGGCTTTGTTGCTCAGGGGGAGTTTGGGAGGGTGTGCCGACTTCGTAAATCCTTATATGGTCTCAAGCAGTCTCCTCGAGCATTCTGTATTTTATAGGATCACATCTCCTGATAAGTGCATCTATTTGTTAGTCTATGTTGATGACATCATTTTCACCGAAAGTGATCAAGCTGGAATTCGTCAGTTAAAACAGTATTTATTCAGTCAATTTCAAACAAAGGACCTTGGGAAGCTGCGTTACTTCTTGGGAATTGAGGTGGCACAATCTAGACAGAGCATTTCTATTTATCAAAGGAAGTATGCATTGGATATCTTAGAAGAGACTGGTATGTTGGGGTGTAAACTAGTTGATACATCCATGGATCCTAATGTCAAGTTATTGCCCGGACAAGGGGAGCCATTATCTGATCCTGGTCGTTATTGGAGGCTAATTGGAAAGCTCAATTATCTTACTGTGACTAGGCCAGACATTTCTTTCGTTGTTAGTACGGCTAGTCAGTTCCTTGATTCCCCTTGTGATTCTCATTGGGATGCTGCTGTGAGGATCCTCCGATATATCAAAGGAGAACCAGAAAAAGGTTTGTTGTATTCGGATTAGGGAAATACAGAAATTTGTGGTTATTCAGATGTTGATTGAGCAGGATCACCCTCAGACAGGCGCTTTACTTCCGGCTATTGTGTCTTCTTTGGAGGAAACTTAGTTTCTTGGAAGAGCAAGAAACAACCTGTTGTTGCTCGCTCTAGTGCAGAAGCTGAGTATCGTGCAATGGCAATTGTTACCTGTGAGTTAATTTGGTTAAAACAGTTGATTCAGGAGCTTTATCTTTGTGAACAGAAACAACCTATGACACTCATTTGTGATAATCAAACTGCATTACATATATCCTCCAATCCTATATTTCATGAAAGAACCAAACATATAGAGATTGATTGTCACTTCATTCGAGAAAGGATTCAATCAGGAGAAATCAAAATAGCTTTTGTAACCTCTAATGATCAACTAGCGGATGTCTTCACTAAAGCTCTTAGAGGTCCTCGGGTTGAATACATTTGTAACAAAGTTTGGTGCTCACAATATATACGCACCAGCTTGAGGGGGAGTGTTAGAATAGGAAATATTAGATATATAGATTTGATATAGATTTGTATAGATTACCTTCATTTCCCCTGGAGAAAAGCTATAAGTATGGTGGAGGGTTAGACTCGCTGTTATTCCTATGTTCCAGATGGTCCTTTTTTAGTCCTTTTCCCCTTCATTTCCCCCACTTCTTCTTGTCCCTTTCTTTTTTACTTTTATTTATTTATATATACATATATTTTTATTTCATTTTATTTTATTTTATTATTTTATTTGTGTATTTTTATTTATTTATTTATTTATTTATTATTTTTTTTTACTTTTTTTCAACCGTTTTGTATCTTTCATGTGGGTTCATCTACCACCGACCCCAATTAATTTGGGATAAAGGTGTTGTTGATGTTGATGTTGATGTTGTATAGATTACCTTCCTATATGTAAATATTCTTTTCCTATTTAGTTTTGTATTAGGTCTGGGCTTCTCACTTAAGCCCATTAGGGTCTCTATATATTGTAACTATCTGTATTAACTTAATACACAACATATTATTTTATATTCAAGTCCTAGTATTATAGGGGTTTGAGCTTTCTCTTTTGTATTACATTATAATATGTAAAGAAAGAATGGCTAAACAATAACATAAGGGGGAGGGGGTGAATTGTGTTTTACTTCTTTTGCAAGAAACAATAAAAAACAAATCCCTTTTCAAGAAATCAACCAAGAATTAATTTGATTAGAAAACAAACATTCCCCAACCCTTATACATAATCAAAAGAACATGTATAACATATCAAATCGAGTTTTATGCAGCGGAAAATAAAAAGATAGGGAAAAGAGAAGAAAACATCAAGATTTATCCTAATTCACTCTCTAACCACTTGAGAGCTACATCCAGACTGATGTCGTCGATCCACTATCATCAAGCTTCCATCCGGTACTTGAAGAAATCGATTTACAAGAGGAATTTTACAAGACCTGCGATCTCCCTAGACCACGCTCAACCTGAACACCTTCAGGATCACTCCACTTGTACCAAAAACCAATTCACAATTGGAATTTTACAAGAATTATGATCAAACCTTGATCACTCTTAATCTAAGCCCCTTAGGATCACTCCAATCGTCTCAAAACCAATCACAACGTTAAACAACGTTCTAATAGCAGTAGAGGAGTCTCTCTACATTCACAATTACAAAAGATTTCAAAAGAAAATAAGAAGAGAAGAATAATATTGAGCTTTTCTCTCAAAGTTTGCAAAATAAGCCTAAATGTGTATGATTCTAGGGTGCTAAGTGTTTTAAAGTTTTTCTCTCCTACATTCTTAAAAAGAACTTTGAATAAGGACTCAAGGTATGATACTTATAGACTTTTTCTCAAAATCAAATCCTAAGGAAAAATATCTAGATTTTTGCACTAGATATTGTATCATGATTTTTAAGAAAACTTTCTAAAATATCTTTTTGAAAATAAAATCAAAATCTTCAAATTAACTTTCCAAAATTAGATAAAATCAAATCAAATCTTTCAAAAAGGAAATTAATCTCAAATTAACTTTTTCTTTTTCAAATCAAAAACTAAATCTTGAAAAAATCAAATCAAATTCTTTAAAAAAGGAAATTATTCTCAAATTAATTTTTTCTTTTTCAAATCAAAAACCAAATCTTGAAAACATCAAATCAAATCTTTCAAAAAGGAAATCAATCTCAAATTAACCTTTTCTTTTTCAAATCAAAAACCAAATCTTGAAAAAATCTATTTGGATTAAAAATAAAACTTTTAAATTTTCTTTCCTTAGTTTCCACGTGTGTCATGCATGTGATTTTCTCAATGCATAAGTTTACGGCTTCTAAATTCAACCTTGAGAGATATAGCTCAATAAACTCAATTAACATTTGTAAGACTCTAATTAACATTACAAACAATGTTACAACATACTCTTGAGTCTTCAAATTTCTTCAAATCTTAATTGTATTTAAAGTCTTTCTTCAGTTGGAAACTTTGACTTTGATGTTGACTTTGCACATTTGAGTTACTTCTTCACTTTTGCATGTTGCCTTGATCTTCTAACTTCATTTGGGACTTGTTGCATTATTGTCCCAGTTGTGCAAGCATGTTGAGCTAGTTGGTGCTTTATAATCATCAAAACTTCAATGCATTAGTCTTAGTGACCTATGGTTCAACATAATACATCATATTAAATTACTACTTACTGTCTTTATTATCTGTTTTCCTCCTCTACCTAAACCCTATAATTTCAACAGTTCTAACTGAAAAGAAGTGAAAGTGAAACAAAGGAACATAGAATTTCTTTTATTTTTTTGGGGGAGGGAGAAGGGGAAAGAAGATGGATGTATATGTTTTGTTCCTTGGAAAATGCAAACTATGTTTTGGCTATGTTTTCTATCTCTTCTCCTCCTTGACCTGGGCTGGAGTCCTGGGCAGCTAAACTGTAGGAGGGGGATGCCATTTTCTTTGACCGTCTTTTTTTAGTATTTCCCTATTTGTTGCTTTCCATAAATAGACTAGAGCCTGGTTATTAGCAAAACCATATTCTTTTAGATGGTAACTAGCACAAGATTCCCGAACCATACACTAAGTACAAAATCTAACAATTCCATGATATTACACATGCAACTTGGGGCTTATTTATCCGTTTGGAAAATTTGATGCTTAAGAAACTTAAAAAAAGTAGCACACGGCACATGCATTTACAGTCGCACACACCCCCAAAGCATCAAGAGTTAGATCACGAATATATTTATTCTTTTATCATTCTTTTGCTTTAATCTATTTACAGAAAAGTCCCAGATAGGCCCAGAGATCCTGCTAAATGGAGCGAAATTGCTGATATTGTGTCAGCATTATCGATTCCAGTTATAGCCAATGGTGATGTCTTTGAGTATGATGATATCCAACGCATTAAATCCGCTACAGGTAGCTGAAAGAATTCTTCAAGGCTTTTAACTGATTTTTCTGTTATGTTGTGTTAGAATTGTAAATACGATGCTGTGAAACAAACTTTGAATGTAGTTTATTTTTATCATAAGTTTCAGAGAGCTGAGTTGCCTTATTTGTATTTATGTTGCAAGTTGCAACCTAATCTCTCTGTCCTTGTTAATTAGTTCTCTACAAGCTGCAATATAAATACTCTGATAAGATGCAACTCGTTCTCTTGGAAAGTGATGAGATGAACCAAAGCTAGCAAACTTTGTTCCGCGATGAGATTCATTAATTGCATATTCTATGCTACCCTGAGGTCATGATAGATTCCCCTCAATTCTGCAGGAGTGATTGGGCATACCCCTAGGCTTAGCCTTCCCAACAGCTGCCTTGGAACAAGCCTCCACATCATACTATTGGTAATCTTTGCATTCCCATGTGTGTTAACTTGAACTCATCCCTCTCAGGGAATGCTTCAAGTGATATTTAGTCCTCCTTATGACAGCACTTTGGCAATTTAGACTAGAGATTGAGAGTGATTTCGTACTATGGAAATATAGACATTCTTCTATTCCTAAACTATATATTAAATGTGGGAAACAAAAGACTATAATTACTAAATGTGAGAACCAAAATTTCTATAATAACTCCCAAGTCAGTTCTTAGAAGCTTTAGAAAATCCAAGGCTACAAAAGTAACACTAAAGAGCTTGAACTAAATTTTGTAGGATTCTTGCTGATCATCCTCCTACCGTTATGCATAAGAAATCAAGCAATCTTATAATTTTTTTCGCAGAAGAGGGGAGAGGGAAGGGAAAGAGGGGTGGCAGCGGGGTGTCAACACTAAGTGTGTATCATGTGGCTTACCAACCCTTATCAGGCTGCTTACTAGATGTCACTCATGGACCCAAAAAAACTTACAAGGCTAGTCGAATTAAGATTCAATGAATTAGGATGAATAAGCATTTGGATGTCATATAAAGCCTTGAGTGAAGGAAGTTATTATCTTTTATTGCAGTTGATGGGAATTTATATTTGATCTTGATGATTACTTTTGTATTAAATATGCAATAACATTCATACTTTTTATGATGATAGACTAGCTATTAGTTTTTCATTTAGTTTCTAATTGACGCTGGTTTGGCATAAGGTGCCTCGTCAGTGATGGTTGCCAGAGGGGCACTCTGGAATGCTTCAATATTTTCGCCTGAAGGCAAAGTTTCTTATGAAGTTGTGAAGAGAGAATATATTAGGAAGGTAATATTTTTTTTCATTTTTCTACATTAACTACAACACCTACTTATGACCTTTTATTCTTTACCTTGAGATGAGTAATATTCTTATGAATATGCAGTTTCTAAACCCAGACAGACTTGTTATTCTTTCAATGTGATACTTCCAATTTGATGGTACCCACAAGTTCTAAACAGAAATTGAACGAAATGGTAAAAGATGGACTGAATTCAAAGACTTATATTAATATTGCAGAAATATCGGAACACTTCATCAGTGTCTCTTACAAACAAAATGCCCTATTTAACAATGGACTTAGCCGAATTACAATAGAAAATTAACATAAGATGCAAATAAGAAATAACAAGAAAAATAACCCCTTCATCCAATTACAGAGACAATGACCCAGCCTCAGCAATAGGACTCTCCATTCTTCATTCATGTAATTGCCTGCCTCTCTCCAACGAACTCTCCTTGCTTTTATTCGCTTCACACCTCTCTTCACGCTGCACGTTCTCCACTTCCTCTTGCCCATTCATAGCTTTCCACGTGGCATTGATATTAACTAACTTCTCTTCAATTCCCCTTAGTGCCTTGCTCTGGTGACTTCCCCTTTCTCTTTGGGCTTGGGCTTTCCCTCTCTTTCATACACTATTCTATAAGGTTCCATGGCTATGAGCCCATCACAATTTAGATGAATGGTTTTACATATTCTCATATTGGTTGGGGGCGTTGGGCTTGTGGATGTCGTGGTACTACCTGCTAAATGTTACTGTTTTTTCTACATGTGATTTCAGTGCATCTTGTGGGATAATGATTTGAAAAGCACCAAGCAGACATTAAAGGAAATGATAATGCATTATTCTTGCCTAGAGTTCCCTGAAGGGAAGGCCGTGATCAAATCAGAGTCCTTGGCAGATCTAGCGTAAGTTTATTTTTCTTTATTGCTTACCTTCATGCTCACAATACATGTTGTGTGTTGACTATAAATTTATACGATTTGTATTAGGAGGGAAAGGATATTCCGATAGAATTTACTTAGTGATTAGACAATTAGGAGGTGATTAGTTAGTTGAGAGGATAGGCAGTTAGCAGTTGTTAGCTTCCCTAATATATAACGGAATGTGTTTTTAGTTAGAAGTAGCTTGGACAAAATTGATTAGGCTAAGAGTGCTCAGTGAGTGCCCCTTGGCAAGAGAAGTGTCTCTTGTGCATTCATAGGTTTTTCTCTTAGCAGTTGTTAGCTTTTCTTGGATTATGCATGAACTGGCTGACAATACTAACTACATAAGCTAGATCAGATCTAGTATGAGCCAAATATATTAATCGCCCCTCTAGTTGTTGATATTGTTCTTTATCAACTGGAGGACTCTCTTCTTCATTGCCCATTTGTGATTTTGCTCAATGGGAGTGCTAGAGGGTTTACACCCAAGTTTTCTTACCTCTTTAAGAAGATCAAGGACATACTTCCTCTAATTGATAAAAATTTCTTCTTTTGAACGAGTTACCTCTATCCCTAGGGAATATTTTAATCTCCCAAGGTTCTTAATCTCAAATTCAGAGGCTAGTGGTTCTTGTAAGACACATTTCTCCATTATATCATCCCTTGTTATAATTATGTCATCAACATACACAAGGAGGACAATGAGTTTACCATCTTATGAATGTTTAAAAAAGAGTGTGTGATCTCCTTGACTCTGTTTATATCCTAAGGCCGTCATAACCTTAGTAAATCTCTCAAATCAGGCACAAGAGGATTGCTTCAGCCCATACAAAGTCTTTCTTAGCCTACGAACTTTATTTTCTCCATCTGTAGAGTCAAATCTTGGTGGGATTTCCATGTAGACCTCCTCTTCTAACTCACCATTGAGGAAAACATTCTTCAAATCAAATTAATTTATGTACCAATTGTAATATGCAGCAAGGGATAATAAGGCTATTACTTTGTTCATTTTTGCAACTGGAGTAAAAGTTTCTTCTTAATCAATACCATAGATCTGAGTGTAACCCTTGACTACTAATCAAGCCTTATATCTCTCAAAAGTACCATCAGAATTATGCACCCATCTACACCCCATTGCCTTCCTTCCCCCAGGTCTATTTACAACTTTTCATGTTTTATTTTTCTCCAAGGCATTCATTTCATCTTGCATGGCTTGGACCCAATTACCATTTTTCAATGCTTCGTGCACTAATTTTGGTATTGAGATGAAATCTAGTGCTGAAATAAAGCTTTTATAATACACAAAAAGGTTATTAGAAGAGACAAAATGAGAGATAGGATGTTGAGTACAAGATCTTTTTCTTTTTCTTAAGGCAATGGGTAAGTCATCAGAGTCAACAATGGGTAAGTCATAAGAGTCAATAATATTAGGCTCAGAAACAGGAGATTTAGGATTTACTAGTAGTTCAGATGATTGAGGTTGCTGGTGGGGCAGATTGGGTTGTTTTCTTCTCTGATATACCAACTGAGGTGTAGCAGGACTCGCAGCCTTCCGTTCCTCATAAACTAAGTAATGTTGCGTATTTGCAGAATCTGGAGTGTCAGAAACACGAAGAGATACAAGTAATTATAAAGAAGACTCAGACTCAAAAAGAAAGAGACATCAGAACTACTACTCTCCCCTTAAGATAAGGATCGGGGTAAAAGGACTCAGATTCATGAAAGGTAACTTCCATAGATACAAAGAATTTTTGGGGAGGACGATGATAGCATTTGTAGTGTTTCTTATCGGGGCATAGCCAAGGAAGATACACTTAAGAGCCTAAGGGTCCAACTTACTCTGATGTTGTTTATGAATATGGAACACATCCAAACACTCAGGGTTGAAGACTTTGCATAATGGGAATAGAAGGAAAGAAAGAAGTCATGGAGTGAATAGGACTTATATGATCAAGGATTCGAGATGGTAAGCAATTGATTAAATAGGCTGCAGTAAGAATGTCATCTCCCCAATAACAATTGGGTACATTTGTCTAAAAGAGTAATGCCTGAGTGATTTCAAGAATATGATGATTCTTTCACTCACCAACCCCATTTTGCTGAGGGGTGTCGACACGTGTGAGTTCATGAATCATTCCCTTGTCCCTTATAAATTGGGAAAGACACTAGTTGACATAATTCGTACCATTGTCCGATCTCAATCTTTTAATATTTTTATTAAATTGGATTCAATCATATTATAAAATTGAATAAATAACTGAAGAACTTCAGACTTGTCATGCATAAAAAATATCCAAGTTACTCGAGTACAATCATCAATAAAGGAAACAAACCACCTGAAACATTAGGGACCTTAGAAAGGCCCTAAACATAAGAATGAATAAGATCAAAAGGTTCAAAAAAAATTATTGTAATAGAAGGAAAAGTTACATGATTGTGTTTTGTAAACTCGCAAACATCACAATGAAATGACTCAACAGACTTAGATAAAAATAAGGATGGAAACAAAGACTTAAGCAGACTAAAAGGAGGATGTCCCAGGCGTTTGTGGTAAAGCCAAATCAGAGAATCAAAAGTAGACTGGAAGCAAGTCATCAATGTGTGATCCTGAACACAATTTGCAGCAAAGTCGGGAACAAGATAGTACAACCTACCTTGCTCCTTAGCACCCCCAATCGTTTTTCCTGTGGTGAGCTCCTGAAAAATACAGTGAGTAGGGAAGAAAGTTACAGAACAATTTAATTCTTTAGTAATTTTATGGATAGAAAGGATTGGTGGAGAGTTGGGGAACATGAAGAGCATTTTTGAAATGCAGGGAAGGTTGTATGTGTATGTTACGAGAACCCGTAATTGATGTGTGAGAGCCATCAATGATGGCTATAGTATGGGTGCCAATAATGGGGTGATAAAAAAGAAAAGACTCAGTGCAACAAGTCATATGATCAGTAGCACCAGAATTCACAATCCATGAATTTTTAAAATCAGTACAGGAGACAAGAAAAGAATGAGAGTTGGTAGTCATACCAGTCATAGCCAAGGCACAAGTACCAAATGAGTTACTCAGAGAATCAAGCATAGTCCTAATCCGCTCCAACTCGTCTTGGGGAATAGTAGTGAATTCCGAAGACGCAGGTTGGACATCACTGGTAGTAGTCACATTAGAGGAGGTCAAATGAGCTTGGCCACGAGGAGACGCCCTCCCCATCTTCTCCAGAACCTATTGCTTCCCATGGAGGCAAAAGCATAGGTCCCTAATATGACGACCTTGTTTACAATAGGAGTATCAACGATCATCTTTCTTGGTCTTAGAGGAAGAACCATCAGTAGGCTTGCTAGAGGAACCTCCTTGAAAAGAACCTTCTTTCTTTGTCGAGATCATAGCAGACCCATCAATGTTTCTAGAATCAGCAGATGGTGATGGCGATAGTAGTGGTGGCATCGTGGTGATGGCAGTAGCATCGATGATTGTGGTGATGGTGGTGACAGTGGTGATGGTGGTAATAATGGTGGTGGTGGGGGTGGTACGGCGATGGTGGCAGTGGTCGTGTTGGGATGGTGGTGATGATGGTAGCAATGGAGAGTAATTGAGAGAGATAAGTGTTTCTCATTTTGTACTTGGAAACAAAAAAGCTGAAATTTTTTTATTCTTTTTTCTGTTCCCGAGCACAAAAATTAAACCGGTTCATCCCGGGAACAAAAAATTAAACCGATTTTATCAAACGAGTTTTCTATCCATTTTTGCTCCCGGGAGCAGAAATTAAAAAAGAATTGATTCCAGAAAGGTTGTTATGCACACCCTAACAAAGCAATGCACCAATGAAGAAAAAAAAATGTTGCTTGTGTTGGTAAAGGTGCAAGAAGTTGATAGAAAAGGATATTAGGAGGGAAAGGATACAATTTGTATTAGGAGGGAAAGGATATTCCCTCTGATAGAATATTCCCGGTGTCTAGGGAATTAGGAGGATAGGCAGTTAGAAGTTGTTAGCTTCCCTAACTAGGGGATGTGCTTTTGGTTAGAAGTAGCTTTTGACATATATTGGATTAGGCTAAGAGTGCTCAGTTGAAGGGGAGTGCCCCTTGGCAAGAGAAGTGTCTCTTGTGTGTTCATAGGTTTTTTCTCATCAATAAACAGGTCATTTTCATTCATTCCCCATTTTTCTTTCATTCTTCCTTACTATTTTGCAAGTATCAAGCTCTAAAGAATCCAGAGCCGTAACACAAACAATCTTTTATTGTTCATGTAAAGAACCTTGGGATACACCACCCCAAAAGCTAGCTCAAAGGGTGAGAGTGCCCAAGGTCTTATAAACTCCACATAAGTTGCACATACAACCAATGTGGGACTATATATCTCAACACGCCCCCTCACACGAGAACCCATTGGGCTAGAAGCGTGGATAATGCAACAGGCCCAGCCTACCTGTGCGAAGAAAGAAATTCCACAATAGAAAGTGGGGGGTGGCGAGGCTCTGATACCATGTAAAGAACCTTGGGATACACCACCCCAAAAGCTAGCTCAAAGGGTGGGAGTGCCCAAGGTCTTATAAACTCCACATTAGTTGGAACCAACAACCAATGTGGGACTATATATCTCAACACGCTCCCTCACACGATAGCCCAGTGGGCTTGAAGAGTGGACAATGCAACAAGCCCAGCCTACCTGTGCTAAGAAACGCCACAAGAGAAAGTGGGAGGCGGCGAGGCTTTGATACCATGTTAAGAACCTTGAGGTCACCACCCCAAAAGAAACTGAGCTGACCAGGACATCAACATCAAGATCCCTCTCAGACATTTCATTTAACAGTTGGTGAGCAGCCGTGGTTTCCCCTTGACTATGCTACAAGCTTATTACAAGAAAGACCAAGTAACATAACATCAAAATAAATCTCCTAAATGAGAAACCAAAAAACAACAATGTGCTAAAAATGGCGTCGAAATGAACATCAACATGGAAGATGCCGGAATGATCATCGCCAAAGACAATTGTGCTGGAATGACCATCAGCAACATGGACGGTGCTCCCCCTCAAGAGGAACTTCTAAACAATGCCGGAATTATCATCGGCAAAGACAATTGTGCTGGAATGACCATCAGCAACATGGACAGTGCTCCCCCTCAAGAGGAACTTCTAAACAGTGCCGGAATTATCATCGACAAAGACAATTGTGCTGGAATGACCATCAGCAACATGGACAGTGCTCTCCCTCAAGAGGAACTTCGGTGTCGGAATTAACATCAGCGGAGACAACATCAGCAACTTGGACAGTGCTCCCCCTCAAGATGGATGATGAATAGTATAAATACTCCATCTTGGGAAGAAAGAAGATTAAAGAAAAACAAAGCTTCGCGGAATCGGAAAAGTCGCCGGAGACGGCGGTGGGTCGTCGGAAAAGTCGTAGGAGACGGTGGTGGATCGCCGAAAAAGTCGCCGGAAAGCCATCGGAAAAGTCACCGGAAAAGTCGCCGGAGACGGCTATCAACGGTGGACGACGCGGTCAACGACAACGGTGGTCACCCAACAACTTCCCAAGGATCATTCTTTTCTGATGTGACAGATCAGTCTAAGCTGCAGTCACAGAGCATACTAAGAAAAACCCGAAAAAGAAATAGCAATGGGAATCCTTCAAGGAGGGTGATATCTCTCTATAACCATATTGAAATTATGGAAAATAGAACTAAGTTAAACGGATTAAGATTCCTCTTGTTAGGCTCTGGATACCATGTTGCATCTCATAGATACAAGAGGAAATGATAGTAATCCTTGTTGTATTAAACTACACAACATTGGTGCTATTATATAGCAAACCAATTGAAGAATACAAAGAGACACACTCAATGTGGGACTTCTACACTATTAACACTAACACTCTTAACACTCCCCCTCAAGCTGTAGCATATAGATCATATGCTACAAGCTTGATACATAAATAATACTCCCATTAGGAACCAAAAACAACAATGCTACATCAACGAAATGAAATGACTAAGTACAACAAATCAACTGGAATGACCATCAGTGTGAAGAGCTGATAAAGAGACAGTGCTGGAATGGACATCAGAGCATGGACAGTGCTCCCCCTCAAGAGGAACTTCGGTGTCGGAATTAACATCAGTGGAGACACCACCACCATTGGTTGTTGAGATATATAGTCCCACATTGGTTGTATGTGCAACTTATGTGGAGTTTATAAGACCTTGGGCACTCCCACCCTTTGAGCTAGCTTTTGGGGTGGTGTATCCCAAGGTTCTTTACATGGTATCAGAGCCTCGCCGTCCCCCACTTTCTCTTGTGGCATTTCTTAGCACAGGTAGGCTGGGCCTGTTGCATTGTCCACTCTTCAAGCCCAATGGGCTCTCGTGTAAGGGGGCGTGTTGAGATATATAAATGTGCAGTTTATAAGGTCTTGAGCACTCCCACCCTTTGAGCTAGCTTTTGGGGTGGTGTATCCCAAGGTTCTTTACAGTTCAATAGTCACATGTTTGTTGACTCAAATCGCTTTTCAGTGACTTGAAACTCTGTCATTTCCAATCAAATAAATAAAAAGAATAAAGGGCACCAGGTTCCTTTGTAAGTTGTAACGGAAAAAACAATGATAATAAAGCGTCAATGTGTCATTACTTATTTCATTTGTGTTTGCTTCCTTTTTCACTAGCGAGATACTTGAGCTTGAGTTTGATTTGAGTTTGTTGTTGCTTATTATAGAGGGAGAATTGGGTTCAATTCTACTTGGAAGTGAGTAAAACCTTCTTATGTTTTGATAATAAATGTTAATTGATCAGGTTGAAACTTGCAACCATCTACACAGTATGTTATTTTTTTTTATTTTTTTAATATATATATATATATATATATATATATATATATATATATATATAATGTACACTTTGATGGTTCAGAGAACTCTACGGGCAGGAACAGTACTACCAGTTAATAAAAGCGGATAGATACCTTTGACGATATGAATAATGTTATTTTGGAGCATAAAAATTCTGGGTTAAGACATGGCTGCACTGGTTTAGGATTACGGCGAGCTCCCAGCTTAGTAAGCACTTACAAGAAACTTACTCAAAAACCACCAATTTGAGATTCCTGAGATCGAACTCAAAGTCACATGTTTGTCATGGGTCGAGCAAACTGGATTTGCTAATCCCTCAATGCATGGATATAGATGGTGTTAGAGGCTTTTTTCATGAATTATAATATCTTTTGTAGGCAATTTTTTCCTAGTAATATATGAACAAAAGTGTGATTGACTGATTCTGTATCCAACCTCTGATGATTTGTTTCTGTAGATAGTTTTACTACCCATATATTCTCCTTTTATCTTTTGGTCAACACTCAGGTATGTTTGGATGGGCTTTTAAAAAAAAGAACTTTTTATGAGTTATTTTTAAAAAAAAAAAAATTAAAAGTTAAAGTTATTTTGTATTTGGATGTAATATTTAAAAAGTATTTTAAAGTAAAAATATCATTTGGATCTTAAAATAAAAAGATACTTTTAAATATAAAATGATTGTTGTGTCCTTAAAAAGAAGAAGAAAAAGTTCCCTTTTTTCCCAAAATATCCCCCCTCCCTTGTCACCTTAATTTTTCCTTCTTATTCTTCAAAACACTTTGTTGCCGTCACAGTGTCTAATACTCGGCTGTCCACTATCAGTGTCCTTGTCCACGGTTGTCGTTGTGCCATTAGCACCTGTCGCACGTTCGCCCTTGTTGTGTCGCCAGCACCTCCACTTGACATTGCTACACTCGCCTGTTTGCCGTCGTCCATCGCCGCTACTGTTTGTTGTTCGATGCATTGCTTGTTTGTTGTCCGACGTGTTTGCATGTTTGCTTCCTGCTGAACACCGTATTCGTATAGTATGGTGTGCGCATTTGTAGTGATAGTCTAACCGCCCACTTGTATTCAATGCAACCCACAGTAGAGTGTCGAAGGAGAATGATGAAAATCGTAACATTAGAAGTGCTCTGAACTTCATATGGAAACCAAGTCGAAGGAACGATGGGTAAAACTGGTCAAGAGAGTTTTGGAGTTGCTTTTGGCTTCTGATTTTTTCAAAAGCCAAAAAAATTTACTTTTCAAAAAAGCAAGATTTTGACTTTTTTTGTTGACTTCTCCCTTTCTTAAAAGCTCACATTCAAACAGCAGAAAAATTTCAAAAGCACTTTTTTTTAATAAAAAAAAAAAGCAGCTTTTAGAGTGGAAGAAACCCATCTAAACAAGCACTTAATATAACTATCTATTTTGTACCAAGTTTTTTTTAAAAAAAAAAAAAAAAAAAAAAAAACTAATAAAGCATTTCAAAATAAACTTTCAAAAGTGCAGGTTGATCAAAGTTCTTCCTTCTAATTTTCCATAAAACATAAACTCAACCTGCTAGTCTCAAATTACATAACCATTTATTGTATCAATTATTTTGATAAAAAGAAAAAATAATTTTCCCCTTACAAATAATTAGGTTCGGCATATTTGTCCTACAACTCAAAAAACATGATAATTTATGTTAAAATTTGACAAAATATTACACAAGAGGGCTAAAATGCATACTTTCAAAACTTTAGGAATTGTGTTGAACATTTTTAAAGTTTATGGATCAAAGTAAATATGACCCTAAGTTATATGAGACAAATCGAATTTTTTCCTAAATTAATTTTATTATATTATATTGCTTGATTAATTTAGACTATTCTTTCAAAAATAAGATAAATTCTACATATTGTTTGCACCTTTAGAAGATTAGGAATAAAAATAAACTGATCTTAGAATAATTAATAAACATATAATAAAATATTTCAAAATAAGCATGTGAGTAGTTACCCTTCATCAATTATAAGGGTACCTAGATCCTTACCCCCGCTTACAAGATTCTAACATGGATCCCAAACATATATATAATATTTTTTTTATACATATATATAATATTTTAACAAAGCAACTTTTGATTCAAATCAATTCATTTCTAATGATAAATAAAATTTTAAATCCCATTATTTTAAACCAAATATTTCATATTAAAATTATATTCAATATTTATAAAATAATTATAAATGTCACAAATCATAAATGTGATGTTACTATATAAATATTTTAAAATGCATAAATTTAATCAATCACATCATAAAAAATTGTTTTCCCATGTATATGTTACTAAACAATAATGATACAATAAAACTTGAAAGATAATAATAAGAATAAAATACATCATCATAATTATTATCCACTAAGTCGTGAAGAACCATCTAAAGCACTTTAGGGTAAGCAAATGAGTTTTAGCCAAATCTGAGCATTAATAAATATTTTAACAATGCCTTATAAATTATTCAAGGATAACTAAATAAATCTAATAGGTGGCAAGGAGATTTATGCTCTAAGCTCAAAATAAATCTACCCAAAACATATCTATGTTATAGATTTTCTCATATGTTTGGATAATAGGTTAACCTCTAAGAGCTTAAAAATTGAATTATTAAGGAGTGGGTTGCACCTTTTTTCTCCTTAGACTTTCCTTAACTTCAAAAATCACCCCTAAAATATAACTGGAAGAGAGAAATGGTTAGGGCTTAAAATTTAATCAAACTTTCAAAATGATACTTGAAGTTTGGTAGTTGATCCAGATAAAATATGATAGGCCCATCAAAGGCCCAAATATATAAAGACAAGGCCCAAAACCCTTAAAGACCAGTATATGGTGCGATGGTCCACATCACGCACAAAGCAAGGCGCAATGACACCATCGCGCACGAAACCGCCCTCTTACATGCTATAACACCTCACAATTTTAAATCAAGTAATTAAAATATTAAGTGAGCAATCAAGTGATGGATTAGTGAAAATCCAAAAGATTAGGCCAAAATACAAAGAAAGGGCAAAACGGTAATTAGCCAACACGCAACCCTAGGAAGATAAAATTGAGTACAAGGTCTCAGATGGTAAAAATAACCCTGGAAATGGGTTCAGAACGAAAAATTGAGTGGACAGGCAAGTTTCAGAAAAATCAGTGAATAGTGTTTTTCGCGGGTAAAAATACCGCGGTACGATTGCACCGTAAAACGTGCTGATTGAGTTTTGAGCTCTAGGTTTCAAATATGAGTTAAAAATGGTCTAATGAGTTAGGAAATATGATTTCTTATAATATTCGATGAAATTAAGACAATTTGGGGAAGCGTGCCAATGGCGCGCATAATAGCTTAAAACAGTGTTTTCTCCGAACGAATGGAGGACTCTTAATTCATCTGATCAAGCCTATTTAAAGGGGAATAGTTAATGTTAAAAATTTGAGTTTCTAAATAGGTTGTGAATTTACGGACGTTCAGTGGAATCGAAGGAAAATTTGGATTAGTTTTAAATCGCGTGAGGTGGCAGTGGGACCCACCCCACTTAAGTGACTTAAGCCACATGTGCTTGGCACTATTCATGCATCACTTTCCTCCCTCTTCTTGCTCAAACCCGCAGCCACCATAGCCCTTCCCCTCCAAGATTTCATTTCACCATAACTTAGCCATTTCTTCACCAAATCCATTGATTCTTGTCTTGAAATTTGATGGAAATGGTCTTCTAAATCCATTGGTGGTACTCCCAAGCCTTGAAAGCCACTAGATTTTGAGAAAAACCCTCCCCAAAGCTGCGGCCCTTTCCTTTAGATTTGTGAAAATGGTGTTGATTGATGCTCCAATGGTGGAGTATGTTTAGGAGGAGCCTTGTGCCAAGCTTTTGGGTGAGTTTCCTTGTGTTCCAATGGTTTAATTTTGTGGTTGAATTTATGAACCCTAAAGAGGGCTTGTTGGATTGATGTGTTTAGAGAGCTCAATTGGAAAATGTTTGTACATGAATGTGTCTTAGAATGATGTGTAGTAGCCATAAATGCAATAAAAATTATTGATGAAAAATGTGAATTTTTAACTTAGAAAATTTTGAGGTTGTCATGACTTTGAGTTTTGAAAATGTGTTAGGATTGGATTGATGAGTTGTTGTATGATTGTATGTTGATATAATAGGATTGTATGAGGTGTGGAATGATTAAAGTTTTATGGAAATTCCTTGGAATGCCATAGGGTAAAATTCGATTCTTTGAGGAAAGATTGAGGAATTGATGTTGAAAAATGATTTGGATGATGATTTGTGTAGTTATATGGTGCTTAGATGGGTTGTGTTGTGCTTGGAGAGTGTTTGAAACAATGGAAAAAAATGAATTGTGTTAGAGACCTAAATGAGCCCAGAATGAAATATTTCGCAAAACGATGCGTAAATGTCGGAAAACGGAAAAACGACGATTGAACTAGCCTCTAAACAACCTAAGGGAGTGTTATAAAATGAGAAAGAAAATTTAAGAAAATAAATCTCAAATTTACACCTACATGGCCGAACCTCCAAGGGGAAAAGGGGTGATTTGGCGATTTTCGCGTTTTGATGTAATTCGACGCGAAAATGACGAACCGGCACTTGAACTGGCCTATTGACGACCTAATGAGACGTAACAAAATGAGAAAGAAAATTTAGAAAAATAAATCTCACATTTACACTACAATGGCCGAACCATCAAGGGAGGATGGGGAGGATTTTTGTGTTTTTGCGTTTTGATACTATTTGACGAGTACTGATGGATGTACGTTATTGTATAGGTTGCCGTACGTCGACCTGAATCCCGAATCTTGAATCAGTGAATTGCCCTTGGTCCGGGACGAAGTGGATTGAGGTAAGAAATTGGTTCATTGCATGTGTAATTATAAATTAACATGTATGGGTTGAACTGAGAGTGATTGGGAATGTCCTCTGTGTAGGCATTCCGCTGTGTACCGAGTTGAGGGATAAGCTGCTGCGGAGCTTGTGGAAACGCAAATTAAGGTAACCTCTTGGTACTGGGGCTTGTTCCCCTTTTCTGTTCCACCTTGCCAGTTGATGGCAACGGTAGGAAGTGTGTATGAATAGTATAGAACACATGAGCATGCATGCATTATTGCTATGGGTACTGCAGTACCGAGTCTCTGGCCAGTAGACAGTTTTATTAGCCTTCGGGCATTTTCGGACTTCCGCTGGATAGGTCTCCAGGAGGGAGTTCCAGTTGACTGCGGTCATGGTGTGTGATCCGGGTAGGAGCACACTAGGAATGTCTTTGGCGTTTTGGTTGGTTTGGGCATCATGGTTGTGGTTTCTGTGAACACACCTTGGATGATACCCATAGGCTTATATATGCCGAGGGCGTACGTGGAATTGGGGTTACCATCCCGTATCGTCGTATTTTGTTTTCTTTATATTCCCCCTTCTCTAAATCCTATGCTATATCCCGTTTTCAAAATGGTTGTTG